AACATGTGGGGGTATTTTTCCTAATTTAGCCTAAGTTCAGGTGGTTTTCATAAATTATCCTTGTTAATATACAACTTAAACTTATTTACACTTATGACCATATGTTAGAAAATAACATAAATGTTGATGCTATTGAAAATAGATCAAATTTTATGTAAACAAAAGTCACTATAAAATGCTAATATAAATAAAATAATGAAAAAAAATAAAATTAATTGATATTTTAAATATATAGAATATATAGTATATATGACCATTATACATTTTAAACAAAATAATTGATATTCTCAATGTTTGGCATTAAATAAAGTGAATAAACGAATTTAATACCAAAGATTTAGAACAACTTTGTTATATTTTGAAATATATAAAATTAATTCGTTTATTTTTGTAAATTCGTTATTCAATTTATTAGAATAATCATGATAAAATTTATATTTTAATTAGTATATACTATAAAAAGCTAAATCAATCGTAAAATTTATTGTCACTGGATTCAGTGAAGAAAAAATAATTGTTCAAATAATAAATGTAATTCATGTTGTATAATTTCCAATATGTTAAATAATGGGGAATACATTACTCTACACGTCACAGAAAAAAAAATAGTGGTTCGCAATATTGTAAATTCGAATATGTATATATTTTTTTACAGATAATATTAATATATAATATTAAATTAGTAAAAAGAAACCATATTCTCTAGTCATCTTCATGTAAAATGTATCATATCAAATAATTTATTCTGCAAAATTTTGTTAAGATAAATCCAAGTTTATGAATTAAAATATAAAACTTCCGTAACACCACCAATCATGCAATTATAATAACGGAATATTTTAAATTAAATTTAACTAAATTGAAATTAAATTAATTATAAAATTAAATCAAAAAAATAAATTTATTTAGAGTTTCCAAGAAAGTTGATATATTTAAAGCATTTTATAAATGATAGGATATAAATATATTAATAAAATAATTAAATATATTTAATCATCTTTAATTTTGGCAAATGATAACATGTTTTTTGATGATTTATTTCCACCAATCAATTCACCACTTGGGATGAAATTGAGGACATGTCACCAATTGAAATTGCCAAATGTCAATCAATTAGGTATGGAATTCAACTTTTATATTATATATATATATATATATATATATATATATAAAGAAAGAAAGAAAAAAGAAGAAAAAAAAAGGCAGCTCGCGAGCTGCCGAACAACTAATTTTGGGCTCGAGCTCGAGCTCGAGTTCGAGCTTTTTTCGAGCCAGCTCGTCGAGTTCGCGAGCCGGCTCGGCTCATTTACCACCCCTAATCGTCACCACCCCACCAAAGAAACCAATGTCCATCAACCCACCACAAAACTACTGTCCAACAACCTCAATCCCACCAATATCTTTATTTTTTAATAAATGCGACGTGTTTAATTGGCAGACCTCGAACCTATATAATATATAAATTTAAGTTAAATATTTTGTACTACAATCCAAAAGTGACTATATATATAATTATATATATATAGCGTCCCTTTGCGACGCGCGCGACATCTGCTGTACCCG